CTACCATGTACATATATATATATATATATATATATATATATGTACATGGTAGCCTTAGACTTCCATTACAATCTGTCACTCATTTTAACTTTCAGCCTCAAATTTTGGGAAAGCCACTTATATAATGAGTTCATGTTATTTTCAAAACTGAGTTTAGTATGCAGATAATGTAACAGCCAAAAGACTGTAGGCAACTTCTTATTGCTTCAGCCAGAGTAAAGACTCCATGGCATATAAAAGATTTTGAGATTGCTTGCATGTGTACTTTGATAAGACATTAAAAATAAAATTAAGTCTCTTAAATCCTCAAAAAAAGCTGGCTGAACAAAAGAATGCCATGGTATTTTACTTTCTAGACAGTAATTTTAACATATCAGGATTTGCTAACAATTCTGATTTACTCAAAAAGTGTCTAGTTTGTTGAACCTGTTGAAAAATGTAACTATACATATTTTTTTTAAGAATCCAATTATATCTCACTTGAAAAATGCTCTAAAGATCCTCTTATCATTCTACTTCAGAGAAGACGCTGAAATATATTTGCACATCATAAAAGAGGAACTGATGTAAATTTAAGAATAATTTTATCTTGGTAACCACTATATTGTTCCATTGTGCCAATTCAAGGTTGAAGATTTAAACACATATTTGTGTTAAGAGATTATGTGAAGACCAAGTGCATGCAAATTAAGTAATTTCTAACACTTATGTGTGTTTGTGTGTGTGTATGTATATATATATGGTTTGCATGTGAACATATAGTGTTGTTTGAGCAATGCATAAAACTGCAATTCATGTAATTGCTTCAATGAAATTCAGGTAGTTAAGATAAAAAAGTGAACTCTGCTTTCTATTACCATTAGGAAGAAAAGCTTAATAACCTAGCAGTAATGTTCTCTTTAGCAGTATACTACACTGGTAGAAAGAGCCAAATCATCTTGTTACTGAGTCATCAAATTCAGTTGAAAATGAAGATCTTTTAGTATTACCAATCTAGCAGAGCACAGTATTGAAAAATTACTATCTGTATACTTTGACAAGCTTTAAAAAATTATTACAAATTTTAGTAATTGTAATTGAAATAAAGTTTTGATAATTTTAGATTTGTTGTAGTCCTAGATTTCACATTTTAATATCTGGCAACAGTTTTGTTGCTAATGAAAACCCATTTAAACGTAAGATACTTAGCCAAAATGCATAGTTACTCAATTTTAAAGATTATACAGAAAATCTGCAGCACAGCAAAGCTAGTGAAGAATAGAGGAAATGCAACTGTGGGTGTGTGAAGAATGTGATTTTTCTAAATTCTCAGTAAAATATTTTCAGCTCAGCACATTTTGACTGTATGTTTTTTTGTAATTTATATATTTCAATCACCAAATATTAATTGAACATTTACATCAACCCAAGCAGTAATTTTATTAGACACAATGGGGCATATAATAGAACTAACAAATAGTATTTCTTATACATATCATATAATATTTTTAAATAGTGAATTTTCTTTGTGCTAATATCGTAAAACAATACTCTCCCAAACAGTTAAATAAAAGCCTCTTCTTGATTTACAAGAGAAACAGAAAACAGGGTGGGGGGCACAAAAACCAAATTGTCATATGGTATGTATGTAAAAAATACATAATCTCACTTCACACATTCAATATTGATGGAATTTCATCATTTACTCTCTGTAAGTCAACTTTATTATCAATGTTAAATTATATATTTTGAAGGGTCCAAATAAATTGGAAGGATATAAAATTAATTACAAAATCTTTATATGATACAGTTTAGAGAGAAATGTAATGAATTTGCTGAATTTTTTAAAATTTAAAATGGATTATCAGAAGCCAAGGACTAATAAGATCAAATTCCTTTTAGGAATAACTTCCAATAAAATAAAACAATTCTATTAAATCCATAGCCTTAGTGTCAAAAACAAACACAAAACCCCTCATATGGACAGGTGATACAATAAAAAATTGCTTAATTCAAGTTGGGAAAAATGTAACTTGAACACTACAAATCAAACATGTTATTCATTGTGATAATAATCTGCTTTCCCTATTATTTTAGTTTTGTAAACTGAACAATTATCTATTAGAATTATTCTGGAGATAAAAAAGAAATATTTATAAAACCCTTGGATATTAAAATAAGTAGAAATTCCACTCTCTGAGAGACTTCCCTCAGCACTGGAGAAAATGAAGAGTCTTTAATAACAGCCCTGATCAGGGTTGGCAAACTCTCTAAAAGGCCAGATAGTAAACATTTTGGGTGGTCTCTGTTGCAACTACTGGATTTTGCCTTGGTAAAGCACAAGAGCAGCATCTGGCAGCACATAAGTAATGGTCATGGCTGTGTCCAATACAACTTAGTTTGTGTTCATCTCGACTTCATATGATTTTCAAATGTCCTAAAAAACTTCTTTTATTTGTTTTTAAAAAGCATTTTAAAATTCAAGAACCATTTTAGCTCTTAGGCCTTACAAAACTAGGCAAAAAGTCTTTATTAACCCAGTGGCCTAGATTCTGAGATCTGTATGGTCCAGTGGTGTTTTGAAAATCCACAAGACTATGTAAATTGAGAGGAGAAGGAAAGGTCTGGGGTTTAGATTTTGATGCTGGAACAGACATTATCTACATATTTATCTTGAATGCTGCTAAATTTTGCCACCAATAGGACTAAATCTATTCTAACACATTCTAAATACAAGCTGCTTGAGTTTTACATGTGATTTGCAGGATGATTTTCTTGAAGCTTAACATATTATGAATGAGCTTTTCTGGGAGTAGTTACTCAGGGACCTATATACAAATTGATATATTCTAGAAAATATGAAAACACTTCAGAGCTTTCAATTTTAATTATAGAGAGATTTACAGTTGGAAAGTTTATATGATTAACCCAATGGGTCATCTATTTCAAAGATGATATGTGTCCTTTGAATATGTTTAAATCTGTCTTGAATCAAATTAAGTTACCCTATGTTTATCTCAAATAATATTTGAATTTGGTCATTATGTGATTAAAATACAAATGTAGTGCTGGTGAATTTTAGTCTAGCATGGCTGAATTATTATTTTAGCAGTTTTTGTATTAAAGACTGCACTGATTAAGTAATGCTGCTAGTGACTAGCATTCATCCTTAGCATTAAATGAATTAATCTAGTCTCTCCTGAAAAATCTATTTTTATGTAGGCATAAACAAATGTTTATGGGACAATTATTCCAAATTGGTTAATTATCTACTTATTCCCTGTTAAATGTTAAGAATGACTTAGTCATGATGCTGTTAACTTTCTAGTAAAATAAAGAACCACTTACATCCTTGGAATAGGAAATAGATTAGTCTCCCCTGCAGTGCTGCTGCTTCCTTCACTGTCCACGCTATACCCACTGCCAAAGCTGCTGCCCGAGGAGCCGGTAGACACGGAGCTTTCTGCAGGCCGGTGATTGGTAGGCTTTGCTGCATGATGTGGGAAGAGTCAACACCACAGTCAATAAGTGAAGCTCACTTTAATCTTCAAATGTATAATTATACGTTTTCTTAAACTATGTGTATAAAGAAAAAGCTGTAGCAAGGACCCTACATTCCCCAGGCTAACTTTCATCTTCACTTCCTTAGCCAGTAATGAGCAGGGGCAACACTAAATTACTTTGCTTTTTTGTTTTTTAATTGGACATTAACAAAATTACTTTTAGGGAAAGCCCATTTCATATTTTAGACAGAGTTAAATAGTATGTAATTATTCTGCTAGCATTATTTTTGTGATTTGAACAGTGTAATAGTAGTGATATGGCAAACAAGAATTTGGGCTATTTCATGGAGAAAATGATTTAAGAAAACTTCTGTAGTTACAAATAGCAGAATACAAGAAGTTGTTAAAATTTATTAGTTATATATTAATAACTAATAATCTGTTTTTCTCCTCAGAAGTAAAGATGCAAAACAGAATAGATAATTTAAAAAAGAGTTTGAAAATTCTGTGCTTGTTTTGTATATGGTTCTACCAACAATCTCCAGGGGGATTTTAAAATTTAAAGATAATTGTTTCTCCTTAGATATTTATGATTGGAACGTGTTTCAAAAGTTTCATAATTTTGACTTTGGATATGTGAATTTACATTCCCATAGAAACATGTTCATTTGTGGTATTTTATGTAGTTGGAGTATGGTATTAATATTGTTAGCGGAGTTATAGATTCAAAGGAGATTTGGGAAGAAATTTCTATGCAGAAAGAAGAAAGATAAGGCCTGTGTTTCCTCATATTTTCTGGGAGAGAAATTTTCCTAGCAAGTTTTTAAAAATTGTTGATATTTGTGTTTTGCCAAAGAGCATTCAAAACCTGATCCAGTTTTGAATCCCAACCCACTCTGTATTAACTCTGAGATTACTCATTTGAAAACCGTGGGGTCAGTAATGCCTACTTTCTAAGACTCAGATTATGAGGAGTGAGCCCAGTGACTCACTCTGCTTCCTCTTCTATTACTTGCTGTACCCCACCATACCCTCTTCTCTTCTTCAGGCATTTACCCCAATGGCTGTGTCTTTGAACTTACACAATCATTGACAATAAATTTATCTTGATTCTCTTCCACATTTAGATGTGTTCTAAGCTACAAAATTACATCCCTGTTCCATTAGGAGTCTCTTAGCTAGTAGACTGGATTTGTTGTACTGGGGAAGAGTTGATTTTTAATTATTTCATGATCCAACATATCTATGTATTTCATAGGGAAATGATAAAGTCACAATGATTCTTAATCTGGGGGATTTTGAACTAAATAACTAAAATAACTAAACGAAATGAAAAAGTATGGATATTTTGTGGGAAACCATTTGAGGACAGGATATCCACCATCAGGTCTCGCCAAAGATTTAGCTTTTTACCCACATCCTCCCTTCTTCCAATTCACCAATATCAGATTCTCTAAAAACACCAGGAATTTTCACATCTGTTCCAGTGACCGTAGTACCCCTCCCCCAATAGGGAAATAAGAAAAAAAATAGTAATGTGTTAATTTTATATTAGGTATTTATAAGTTGGGAACAGCTATATTAAAAAAAAAGGTCTGAATAGCTGGTCTGCAATGAATTACCAATCACCATAGGACTAGAATTGCAGAAAAATAATTGTTACAACATTTGTATAATATTTTCTACAACTTTGTATAGAAGAAACCCAGATAGTGTATTTAGTGTTAAAGAAAATATTTTAAAGGATAATTTTTAAAATGTGAAGGTAATATGACTAGGATATAAAATTATGAACATGTGTGAATTAAATAAAATTGCATAATAAACCACATGATGAATCAGAGAAGATGTCAATTGATTGTAAAGGAAAGCTGTCATGCTTTTTGATTGGTATTATATAATCCAGCCAACTAGATTGTTAATATTTTATAGTATGAGATTAAATGAAAAACATTGATTTTATCAAGCAAAAGAAAAAACTCAATATACTATTTTCAAAGACAACCTTAATAGACATTAATTATAACCAATTTATCTTTACTAAATTAAAACAATTTTCATCTAAGGGCAAACTCACAATGCATCAGAATAGTCACCTTATGGAAATAATACCTTATTATTTACATTTCAGAATAGTCTTTTGTTAACATTGGTTTAATCTGATGCAATTTCCAGTTCTATTCTTTTTCTGGGAAATATGAGAAATATATATAGAATGTTAAGTATCATCATAAGAAGAAAGAAACAGCACTAGAGGTAAATTGAAGGGAAGGTTGTTTTTTGTTTTTGTTTCATCTTGCCTATCTCATTCAACAGAAATCTCATTTGGAAAGCTTGTGAAAATGCCTTCATGATTTTAAATGCAAACAAATAATATTTTAGAACAATATAAAAAGAAAATCAAACACAGTGATGCAAATAATGGAACAAGTCTATCTAGCATTTCTGCAAAACAAGATTGCATTTAACATCAAGTCTACAGAAATTATGAGAAGTCAGGTGACTAATTCAAATAAATCTAGATGTTTGGCATTAATTTAAGCAAACATCTTGTACCTTATTGAATTTTTCTTCACTTAGTAAGTATAGTATAGATACAGACAACCTAACATTTAATGAGTTTCTGAGAATTAAATAAAAATACAGAATGAGCCTTTTTTTAAATCAGGCTATGCCTACGCTTATAGCATAAAATGCTATAAAACATGAGAGTGCAAGGGTTTGATAAGTTGTTGCTAAAAATTCAAGTATTTAAATAGTTCTTTTTCAGATACTTGAAAGAACACATGTATTTTCTCATTTCTCTTGAAACAACCCCTAGGTAAAAACAAAACAAAACACATCAATTTTAATAAATTCCACTTAATCTGTGTTAGTGTAAACTTTTTAATGAAAATATTCTTTTGGACTTATAAATGAGGCTAGATCTAGTGTAATTTCAGGACATCTAAATATTTCAGCTAAATTCTTTAGTTTGCTTCTCAAAATTATTTAGTGGTCTGTTTCTTTCTAAATTTATCACCCACAATTCTCTCTCTCTCTCTCTCTCTCTCTCTCTCTCTCTCTATATATATATATATATATATATATATATACACACACACACACATACATACAAATTATAGCCCACTTACATCATTAACTCTGGTTCTCTCTCTCTAATACTTTCCACATTTGTTATGTCCTCCTCCCCATCCAACCACTTTCTTGTATCTAACTTAAAATTATATTTTATTTGTCTTCCCTATCAGAATGGCCTCTTCTAACTTTGGACCCTGCATAGCATATGATATGTGTATCATTTATGGAAAATTATCACTTTCCACTTTTGGTTATAGTTTTACATCAATGTTACATTATTGTAAGCAGAGTCTGCATTTGCTCTTGGCAACCTCCTTCAATCTTGTTCTGGAAGCATTATTCAATGAATAAATACATAAATAACATGACATTAATACTTCCTTACCTAAACCAACAACTAAGACATCTGAATTATTTATTAGGTAAGATTTCACTTTTTAATCCAAGTCTGGGTTTTCATCCCAGTATTCTCAAAAACTGGTTTGATTGGAGAAAATATTTAGTGACAATGTTCTGACACTTGTAAAGGTATATGTGCTACAAAAACTCATAATACACCATGAATAAATAAATACATATGTGTATATACATGTACACATATTCACATACACACATATATTCAAATTAGAGTGACACAAAATAATGTGTATAGTAACTGTGTGGAAGCTATTGCTATTTCAAGTGCTAGAATTTATGTTCCTCTTCCATCTTGGTGTATAGGCAGTTGGAGAGCCTGGGTTTTGATTGTAATATGTCTTTTTATTTTCCATGAAGGACACAAAATTTTAAAATATTAACACTGAATATGATCTTCCATAATTTTATGATTTCAAAGTTAATAATTTAAAAATATTCTACCTCTGCTTTTTTTTCAATTTGATTAATCAAAAGTCTGAGCACACACCTACTATGCATGAACGTATTATGACCTGCATATTATATGTGAAAAATGATTATTTTATAGAATTGATGTTTTTAAAAATAATAAAATACATTTTGAGCCTTTTTTGAGCTGCATTTTTTGGTGTGTTTCTATTTTCTTTTTGAAATTTTAATTGTGCAATCAAGTACCAACTAGAGGAAAGAGTGGTTGATGTACATATTTAATGAATTGTGCTTGCTACTATAGAGGGGATCCTTGTACCCTAGAAAAATCAATCTTAGAATGTTGATCATTTTTGAGACTCAATTATTGAGGGGACACTGCAGGTAAACAAATTTTGTCTTCTGTGAAGCAATGTAATCTATTTTAAATTATCCTTTGACCTCTTCATTCTCTTTGGCTATTAGATGGTTAGACATCATTGTGTTTTATTACTCCACTGTGGCTAACCTTAATTAAATCTGGTAGTGTCTCTTTGCACATCTGTCTTCAATTAGTTTGCTCCATTGGTTTTTCTCCTCTGTTTTACTAAAATGTGCAAAACTATCACTGTTCCTACCACACGATGGCAGCACTATACTCAAGAGTCCACAGATCAAATTGTAGACTGGTGAATCTGGAAATTAGAAGCTGGTAGGAACTCGGAAGATAACCTGCTCCCAAATCATTATTCTGACTTCAGAAAAACTAAGCCCTGTAATGATTAAATAATTCATATAGGTCACACATTTAATGACCAAAAATAATTAAAAGTGTAATCCACTTTTATACCACATTCAATGGTCTTTATTAAAAATGTGAGGTCTCTGCCTCCCTCAGAATTCAGTGCTTGGAATGTATGTAGCCTGGCTGCCTGTGATGTTCTGACACCATCTCGCCACTGTGGTCCAGCATAGTGCTGTCACGACTAGTTCACGAATAATTCATTCTGTAGGTATCCGGTAATCTCCTAAATTACTTGGTTCATAAAATATTAAATATTTTCTTTATAGACACAATCTATAGAATTTTAAGAATGATTTG